GTTTTTTCCTATCAGTAGACCACTTATTCAAGGAAAAAAATTTATTATACGCTTTATAAAATTATTAATATACGAAATCAGTTTTATAATTACCTCAGGAGTAGTGGAAATACGAATGGGTTCTTCACAACGGGACATAAAAATGGCAATCGATACCATACCCAAGACTGCAGCACCAGGAGACATCCGCTGATAGCATTACGTCTGTAGTTAATGGCTCGACACATCTCCCTGTACAACAAAGCCAAAACTGCGAGCCTCAACTGAATGATCCGACCAGATGAAAGTCGCTCAGATGTCGCAACCATATGCAGCGAACTTGGTTGCGCGATTTGTCCGGCATCAGCAACCCTCCTATCAGATGCAGTATGCATGCATGTGCATACATTTTAACTTCATCCTCAGACGCGTCCTCGCTCAACTCCCGAAAATTGGCATCTAACCAATTTAACGGTATCCGACCACCGTTAAAACTTTCTGGGACGCGTCCTAGATTTTCCCTGCACAAAGTAGTCTAGGAACCCTGCGCGATCCCATATATAACATCTCCATCCACCAGAAGCCCCAGGTGCATAGTAACATCCTCAAGTGTAATCGTGCACTCTTCGCACGGAAGATGGAATGTGTGGGTCTCCGGCCTCCATCGCTCTACTAAGGCAGAGATAAGGTCTGGTTCTATCTTATAGTGACCCTGATATCTACCTGTATAACCAAATCCAACCTCTACTAAATACGGCACGACACAACTAGGTATCATTAACTTAAGGTTCCTAATAAAATGATCTAATACACGGTTTTCTCCTAAAAATAAATAATTACAAAAATTAATTCATAATCTAATAATCATGTATTAAATAAATCAACAAATTATTACTAATAATTTAAATTAAATTAAAACGTTAAAATGTTATCGTATCGAGATACATGATTTCCATTTAAGCGAAATAGATCGCCTTCCATTATATATCTGCAAAAAAAATTATATAAGTAAAATATTAAATAAATTAAAATATTTAAATAAATTAAATACAAAATATTAAAAATATAATAAAATATACCTTAAACAGAGAATATAAGAATATTTGAGAGAAATTGAGAGAAATTAAGAGAATTTAGTGTGATGAAAGTGATTGAGGATAAGGGTAATTATAGGAAGGATTGTGGTGTGAAGCGTCAGGATATAGGGTAATTAAACATATATGTGGGGGTAGGGGTGCACCTTTCTGACATGTGGTAGATATATAGGTAAGGCGCGGCCCTGATCCGTGTTATACCCACGTGTATCTCATGTCAATATATAGCGCAGTGCAGGAGACACGCCTTATCCCACGTGACGCCAAATCAACATATAACGCAATTCAGGGACGCGCTTTACTGTTAAAATTATTAGATTAAAAAATATAGTCTGATCGATATTAAATCAATAAATATACCGGTCAACAGTAATTTTTCAGAAATAACGCCTCTTTCTTGTTCATAAAACCCCAAAGCTTCTTCTTCAGTCTTCTCTCATCACCGTTTCTCTGCAATTTATATTCTTTTGGGGATTTTTTTCAGTTACAAGGAGATTTTTTATTTTACGGCGATACCCTTTTGGTTACGTTAAAACCCAGTTTTAATTCTCCGTGTAAACATTTAAAAAAAAGGATTTGACAGTTTGTTTCCCCTTTTCTTTTGTAGGGTTGGAATTTGTTAGCAGGTGCAGGAAAACCCTAATATTTCTGCTCAATTTCTTATGTTTTTGCAGAGTATTTTTCTCTATTTTTAAAGGTCTAAAGACTATGCAAAGAAAGATTCTTCAAGGTGAAGGTGAGAGCTTTGGCTTTGATCTCTAATTCTTTGTTTTTTAGCTTAACCTTTGGTTAGTTTGTTATGGTTTTAGTTCTTGAGGGGGTTTTAGTTTTTAAATTTATAATGTAGATTTTGGAAATTGTAGTGAACAAGTGGAGTGGGTTTTGTTTGTATTAAGCATTTGAGTTGAATTTGTAGAATGCATTTTTTTTCTTCTTAAAACAAGTGTTTTCTTTGGATCCGAGCTTTGATAAATTTAATAGCATGCAATTGTCACATAAATCAAACTCTTTGTATTACCTTTTTGATCTAAGAATCTAAGTCAAGTTTGAGAATCAAATTAACTATTCTATAAACTAAACGACTGCTTTGGCTAATATGGAAAGATGCATAAATGCATTGATTGTTTCTGCATTATGAGGAACATTGATGTTTAAATGTAAAATCTAATTTAATAAAAGTGTGATTCTTCATTCTATTTATTGTCCAAAAATTCATTCAACTTAGATGCTACATTGCATATCTGTGTTTCAGGTTTTCCCACCCATTGATAGGACCTCAAACTAGCATATTTACTTTCTTCTATTGGAGGATCCAACACCTATTTAGAGGTACATTCGACGTGTAATTAAGATAAGATATTTATTCATCCATGGTTGAAATCTAGCTCTGAGAGCTCTCTAGGATGTTGTTATTGTATCTTTGTCTCTTAGTCGACAAAACGAAAGAATTTCGAGTTAAATTGTAATTCAATCCACTCCCCTGAGTTTCCTGGGAATTGCTGCCTGAGCAGCCGGCTAGAATGTGTATTAAGACATGAGTTTGCAGTGAAACCTTAGCTCTTATTTGCTTGATTTGTTAATTTAGATTTTGAGCTGTTAGTTTTCAAGTCATTCATTTTTGCTCTTTCATTATGCTGTTAAGCTCCATCCCTGACTGTTTATGCCAATTTTTATGGTTCATAAAATCAATATTCAAGTTCAAGCTACTGAAACATGGTGTGTAACTATGATGTTTTGTTGTTTTGTATAACCAGGATATAGGATCATTGTTTCTTTTGCTTGCGGGGACAATGATCCTGACAAAGCAGTATCGTTGCATACACTCATCTAGTTGTCAATGCACAAAAGGCCATCTAAGTGAAGATTTGATTTTCCTAGTGTTTCAACAACTCAACTGGAATCCGAAGTTGATTGCCACTCTTTCATTAGTATGCAAATGGTTCGATGATCTTGATAAGAGAGTACTGTGGAAAGAATTCTGCAAAACGAGGGCCCCAAAGATGATGCTTGACCTGCAGTCTAGTGGAAGTCACAGTGTTGATGGGAACTGGAGAGCACTTGGAAAACTGCTTATCTATTGTTCGGGTTGTAGTGGCGGTCACTTGTTCAACAGTGTTCAAATACCTGGCCATTTTGTTTACAGGACCAGGTTCTCAAGGACTTCAGGCAAGAGCTTCCTTTTACCACAATGCAGGACTGATATTTTATACGTGTCTGACCCCTGTGAACATCTGGACCAAGGGGAAGAGGGTGATGTGGGATTTTTCCGAGGAGTTTTCAAGTTATTCTTGGTTTCAAAGGTTCGGAAGATGTTGATTGACAGGGCAGCAAAGCTTCATCCAACAGCTGTGTGCCCTTATTGTAAGGCAAAGTTGTGGGACATGCTGCAAGCTAAAATGATACCGCAAAGTGCAAGCTGTAGTCTGGGTGCCTATGAGGATTGCATCGAGTATTACGTGTGTCTTAATGGACATATGCTTGGCATCTGCACCCTATTACCCTTGTCTGATTCTGAAGAGGCATCTGGATCGGAGTGAGTGATTGAATGCAAACCAGGTAATATCATGCAACAGGAATTCATATAACGAGCAATGCATATGGTGTAGGTTAATAATCTATTATTAGGAGTTTATGTGAGTTCTTAGCTGACAAAATACGCCTATATCTGACTAAATGTATACTTGTTCTTCGCAGTTCGTTTGACATCTCATTTGTGGATTGATCTCCTGGTGGATCAGCTATATAGAGGGGAGACGAGATGGACTGTACTAACTTATCTCTGGACCCGATAATCAACCATCGTAACTAAGTCTTCTCTCCAGTGCTTTGCTACTTTGTCTAAAGTCCTCACCGAGTGTTTCCTAGAAGGGTTAGAAGCAATAGCTAACCATTTTTTGCTTATTTCAATTCTCCATTGGTACACTGTGGTGAGTGTGAAACATGTAATACATGTACTTTGTACATTTATCATGTATGGCTCATGTGTTTTGCAGAGCTGATTGGCATCTCTAATAATTCATGAAGTAGTTGTTTAGATCATCCATTCCCTCGTGGAAGAAATTCGAGTAGACTCACAAACACATTTAGTCTTAAGTCTTCCTTATTAGATAATGCCAAATGGAAGAGAATGGAGCTACGTTCTTACTTTTTCCCATTCTGACATGTCCACTGTGTTTTTGATGAGATATAATGAGTTTCATTCATTATCCATGTGCATGTATGTCATCAATCATGTATACTGGTATGGGCATTGCAATCTGTCATCTGTTTCATCCAGACTATTGGGGGTTCCTATCCATTGAACCTTTGAAAATTGCATTAATAGGAATGAAAAGAAAAGCTTTTGGACATATAAACATTTACTCTGAAAACAATGAAATGATACCAGAACCTACACTTTTGAATGCACTATTTCACACCATTCAAACGGGTGATGTGTTATTTGCACATCACAAGACTATGGAAGATCTTTGAATATATTTGTTGATGACAATTCATCGTTTCTGATTTGGGAATCGTGACCAAAAATTCAAATTTGGTCGGCCAGTTTCGTAACTATATTTTATTTATATTTTTCTCTCTGTGAATGAGCAAATAACGAAAATCCAAAACCATTATGAATGACGCTTACAGTTCAAGTGATATCACAACGATCTCAGGGAAATTTTTGTAGATTATTAAATTGTAAAAATGACCGGATTTAGGTGTTCAAATTACCAAAGACACATACACCATGAACAATTCATGAAGGCAGGCCAGAATCCTATGCCCGAACTCTTCGTTTTCTTAATATTCATATTCAACATTTATTTAAATCCGAATATGTGAATATGATCATCCAAGGATCCTCAAAATACACATTCGACACTAAAGATATTATACAAGGGATGACGAATTCAAAACACAAAAACAAGTTCGGGAGACATATTCGGACGTAAAACCTGAGGTTCAATTGCTTGAGAGCAGAGTCTGATTAATGTGAAACCAATGAAGTGAACAAAATAGATGAACAGTTATCGACTACATGAATTCGGTGTAGAAAAGCAGAAAAACAACACATTCTAAACATTAAATGTCCACAACCTCTTTTTCTATACCAGATCTCTCGCTCTTTCATCTGCAGAAATTTGTTAAATCACAACTTAATTTAAAGCCAATGACTAGGGTAGAATGAAAAGGAACCGCGGATTAACAAAAGCCACCTGAAAATAATGCCTTCCCCACCTCAAGCTGCGGATTATAATATGACACAAACGCACTTGTTCTTCTTTGGTTCGTTTATTATTTTCTTTTCTGCACATTACAGAAAGATAAACATGTTACTTCACAGAACCGTATGGATTGCAGTTTTCAGACCAAGGAGTATTATAATTAATTATTAAGAAAAACATCAGATTATAGTTTTCGTAATTGAATGAATACTGATCGTACCTTTCTCCAAAGGAGGAGGTTGAACAACAACGTGCATAGTCGTTACTCCACCCGGAACATCACAGAGAGGGCTCTGACACTCCCCCAGTGTTTTGTTGTTCTCCAATATTTTCCCAGCACTAATTAACTTGACATCCTTCACTGTCCTTGGACCATTCACCTTCTCTGCACGAAGTTAAAACGACTATAATTGATCAGGAAAATGTTAATAAGGATGGAACGAAATAAAATTACAAAAAGGTCAAGTCATATACAGGAATAACAAAAGAACATAAGAGAGAAATCCAATGCTATTCAATCAGAGAGAAAAGTCGAGACTTCCCCACAACTGCAGTCCAAAACTAATACAAGCAATCCATTCCTTATTATCTTATATGACATAATGTATGTATACCACCATTCCTTTTTTCCATTTTCTTTCTTCTGTTACTAAAATGTAGGTCACTGCATTTTCCATTTTCCTCTTGCGTGAAATGCAGAACTTAGCTCAAACCACGGTTTTAGAAGAACCACAACTATAATTTAAAATTAAATCTATCCGCAAAACTTACATATGCGGACCACATACATAAGAAATGCAAAGCACATAAGAGACAGAATCAAGAGAGTGGGACGGAGGGATGAGATGAAAGCATATCACACTAATATGAACAATATAAAAGCATAAATCTTAAAAACTCCATCTAGATCATCTCAGTTAGTAACTCAATTATAAATTGTTTGACAAAACTGCCTCAAACGTGCATCACTCAACATAGTTTGAAAGCTTGCATCTGGCGCAGACATATATATCAATAGAAAAAGCCTGTGATGTTATGAAGCAAACCGAAACCTTTATAGTATGTTGGTTTATGTAGCGTGCTAACCTACTTCGGATGAATACAATTATCATTTACCCATAAAAGAAAATATGAAACAGCAGTAGTCCACCACAATCTTTGATCAATAATAATTTGAGAGCTAATAATAATCTTTTAACAGGAAAAGGCCCGAACTGGTTTCTATTCATATTTGTGACAGTACACAAGCATTTGTAATCCATTTACTGATCAAAGCATTTAAGCTAAAGCTACTCTGCTATGGAGGATTGAATTTTGGGTCCTAATAATGATTCTATTTTCTTGCATAGTTTCACTCATCGGAAAATCAAACCAACAAAATGAATAAACCACAAAAACAACAAAAATCAATTTCATGAACAAGATACCAAAAACAAATTATCAAGTGAAATAAAGCTGAAAGATTGACCAAAAAATACAATTGCATTTCATCAGACACTAGCTAACTAGCTAACCTTTAGGCCATTGAGCAATAACACTTTCCTTCAAAGTTGTAACACTTGTAGCAGCCGGAAAGGTTTTGGGACCGATATCGGATCCATCAGTCAACCGAAACTTGACCTCCAATTGATCTTGAACACTAGCCATCTCCAGAAACCTTAGAGACCCCAAAATCTAAACCCTACCCCAAGATCTTTACTCGGAAATTTTGCTCAAATCTATACAAAAAAATCTCAATCTAGAAGACTGGAACAACGCTAATATTCCTCTAAAGTAATTAGTTTCCTATATTTACAACAATCACATACCCTCCAAGAATTCCCATCTGGAAATTCTGCAGAACTGAAATCAGGAAAAAAGAAAAACGAATTAAATACGCAGGCAATCTATTTAAGGAAAAAAGCACAGAAAAAGTTCCCAAGTAACACAAATTGGGTAAATCCAAAAACACAAAATCATTAAATAAGAAAAGATCCACCAATATAAAAATAGAACGGAAAATCTCCAAATTAAAGTCTTTAAGATGAGAAAATCTGCTAAAAAAATCCAAAAATTGGCCACAAAAAAACCAAATAAATAGAGAAAAAAGAAAAGCAAAAGCTTAGTGGGTTATCTTACTTGAGCCAAAAACTGATATGGGTTGATTTCTTTTGGATGAAAAAGCCAAGCTTTGAAGAAGAAAAAAGAGAAACTGATGGGGCGGCTTTGATGAAATCAACAATAAGAGAAGAAGAAGAAATCAAAAGAGAAATCAATGCATATAGAAGATTGAAGAAGAGGCGGTTTTGGAGTTTTCAAAGTCTTCTCAATCTAAATCTGTGGTCAATGCTTCATTTTTCCCTTCTTCCAATCTACTATGCTATGGAAATTTTCACTTTCCCTTTTCTCTGTAAAATAAATAATTTAAAAATGGTTAATTACAGTTTTAGTCATTATACTATTTCTGTATTTTCATTTTGATCATAAACTATAGATTCTTTTTAATTTCATCATTAACGTTTAAGACATTTTTGGGTACACCTTCGTTATATTTTGGAAAAAGGGTAACTTTTGCCCTTGTAATAGATCTAATTTATCATTTTCGCCTCTATCATAATTTCACATCAATTTAACCCTTAAAATTGCTCAATTGTATCATTTTATACTCAACTCCTGACTTAAACCCTAAGTTATAAACTCCTAACTTAAACTTAAACCCTAAATCATAAATCCTAACCCTAAACCCTACCTTAGGATTTATAATTTAGGTTTTAAGTTAGGGGTAATATATATAACGATGCAATTAAACAACTTTGAGGGCTAAATTGATGTGAAAATACGATAGGGTGAAAATGATAAATCAAGTCTACTACAGGGGCAAAGGTTATCCTAATATTTTCATTTTGAGTGTTGCTTTTAATAATGAAAAAAGGTTTAGAATTTAGAGAGGGTTTAGAGGTTCGAGGCTCTATCAATGAGTTCAAATTATATTGAGAGTTGTAGACTCGTAATTTTACCTTTCCCTCGTTATATAATTTCATTTCACGCTTATTTGATCAATAGAAGAGGTTTTATTAGTGTTTTACATTAAGGTGATATATTTGTAATTTTGATATGTTTCATGTGAAACATAAAAATGATGCTTTGTGATTTAAATATATGCACTGTGCGTGATTTTGGTTGCAATGATTGTTCGACCTATAATGTACGTTGAAATTATGTATAGAAGAGCATTGGAGATTGTTTAGGCACCAAATGTGAAGGTTTGAGTCAATTTAGAAGGCTTTTTCGACTCAAGTATACATTTTCTAATTTTAGCTTGAATTATTCAAATGATATCGATATCATATAAAATTACAAAATAAAACTAAGGAAAATTAAAAAGAGAGTATCGATACTCTTAAAAGTATCGATACTGAACTAAAAAAACTTTAATATGTCAATTTTATATTTGTATTGTCTAAAAGTATTAATATCTTAAGAAGAGTATATCATCAATATATCAATATCAACAACAATAAAAACCTTAGAATTGAGTATTGATTCACTTGAATCACTTATAATTGTTCTATAAGATTTAAAAAAGAACCATATTGCTTGAATTACTAAACTCTCTTGAATATATTGTGCATTAAAATAAATGATTATGAATTGAAAATGAAACTTTGTCATAACGATGATAATGGTTAGGGGTGTACAAATTTATATATCGGATCTAATTCAAAAAATTGGGATACTTAAAATAGTAATTTTTATTTGATCCCAAAATATCTATATTTGAGTTTTTGAATATCCGAATATCTGGATATCTAAACCTGAATATAAAATTTAATTTGATAAAAAATAATTTTTTATTTTTTATTTTGTAATTTAATGTAACTTTTTCGATACATCTAGGGATGTACATGACTAGGGTTGGGTCAGGTTTTTGGTCCATCCGACTCAACCCAAAAATTATATTTCCTCCACCCGATTCAAACTCGACATGACCCTGACCCTCCTTTTTAGATAAAATATGACCTAACCCGAAATAATATATTTATTAAAATAATATTATTTTTATTGAATAAAAATAGACATTTAATTGAAAAAAATTTATAGGAGTATTATTGCAATTATCCCTAAATATATTTGGTAAAATTACAATTTTTTGGTCGGGTCGAGTATTTTTCCCCCAAACCAGAACCTGACCTAACTTGAACATAACCTCTAAAAACCCATAACTCGACCTGACTCAAACCCAAAACGTTTTTAAAAAATCCAACTCCATCAGGTCAGATAGGATCCCGTCAGGTTCGTGTCCCATGCCCATCCCGAGATACATCTACTACATTATATATATATATATATATGATTCAGAGCTAGGTGGCTTATCGAGCGAGTTGACCGCGAGTTGGGCAGTGCTCGACTTGTGCTCGTTAAAAAAATTTGTTGCACTACTCAATTCGTTTCTCGTTAAAATTTTTCTCGACTCGTGCTCGTTATGAAAGTTTGTTGGTCGAATTCGTTGCTCCTTAAGCTCGTTGCTTGTTAAGCTCACCAAAATTTTTATTTTTTTAATTGTAAGTAAAAGCTACTAATACATAGAACATATTATAAACATAGATTAATAAAAAAATTGTCAAAAAAGTGTATGAAACAAATTTAAAGTCTAAACATTAGAATAACAATTCATAAATACATTAAAATAATAATTAGGATTTAATTTTTTGATGTGGTAAATAATAATTATTAATTAGTAATTTAATATATTTAATTATCTATTACAAAATTAATAGATTAGTACTTTTTTAATAAAATAAATTTTAAGATAACTACTAAAAATTAATAAAAAAAATTAACGAGTTGCTTACGAACTTATCGAGTCAAGTTGGAACTTTACTCGACTCAACTCGTTAAGGTCTCGAGTAAAGCTCGAGTTTTAAAGTAGTTTTGACCGAATCGAATTATATCTGCTCAACTCATTAAACACCCCTATTCAGAGCTTTAATGTGTTAGCGAGTTACTCATTTATTGGGTTAAAGGATATCTAAAATCTAAAATATCAATTTTTTTTCTTCAGATTTTCGGATAATTCAAAATTAAAATTTATCCGATCCGAATTATCTAAAAAAAACGAATCGAATCAATTGGATCAGATCTTTTTAATCACCCCTAATAATGATTAAATATCTCTGAGAAAAGTGTTATTATCGATTGGTAACCATGAGTGATGATCGATCACTCTTGTAGTACTTAATGTATATTTGTATCTATGTGTGATCTTTATATGATTTGCGGTGATAAGTGTCATTTATTTCATCTTGGGTGATGAGTGGCATTCGGAGGAACGTTTTAAATATTCCAAAAATTATTTGATTGACAACCATCCATGACGTAAAAATTATCTGAATATATCCCTCACATGTACAATATTATTTACATTTACAATATACGAGAATTACTAAAGTAGACGATGTGATAAACTAAACAAAATGATACTCCTATTCAAATGATTCATAAGAATGGCATCTCTGATTCCATACACATGAAAAGCTTCAAATATGTGATGGAAAAAATAAATTATCGGCAAAGTTGTTTGAAATGATTCTCATGATAACAACATGTGAATATTATAAAACCTAAGAGCAGGTCCCTGGTTCATGGGAGCTGCAAACAAAGCAATCTCCATAATCTAAGTTCTAAATTCCACAAATATTTCAAAATAAAGGCAAAAGGAGAAAGAACAAATGAAACCAACAGGTTCTTCTTCTTCTTCCTTTTTTAGGATAGGAAAGAAAGAAGAGTGTAGGTTTGATGTATGAGCCCTTACCAAATGGCCATTGTGTTCCTACAGCAGTGACACCAATGGGGAAACACTTCCGAGTATCTGTGTATTTTCACACCTTATTCTGAACCTGAACAATAAGACAATAACCCTTGCAGGAAGACCAATACGAGTATCCTTTTCCCACATCAAAAATAAATAAATATTGATCGATTGCTATGTTACAAACTGAAAAAAGAAAGAATTTTCATGGCCGTGCTAGAAATGCAGGCCCTCTCCTGGCTACAGCATGCATTTTTCGAGTGATGGCGGTTAATCCAACCCACTCTTTACTCCGTTTGTTCACCCCCTTACCTTTCTGAAATACATCTCGATATATTTTTCAGGCTGCAATGAAAAACACTCGACTTGCATACTTCCGAGTCTATATCGTCCCTTCTAACTCCTCTAATCCGATTAACTACAATTCCAATATGTGGCAGTTCCTAACAAAATCATCGGAGTAGTTTACATACTTGGTCCAAAATGGCCGAAGATGCTCAAAGCCAATCTGCAGCCATGGTTTCGATTGGCCATTGTAATGAATAACTGCAGCTCTTTTTGCATTCTCGACATTGGTCTTACTCTGATAGCCCAAACCGAGCATATGCCATGACGGGTCAATTGGACGAATATGACCTTTGAATGCAATCAGTGCAGGTGGTAGAGTTCCAAGTTTCCACATTGTTAGGTTCGACTTCAGGTTCTGCCACAAAGAAACCAATAATCAATGTAAACGAGTGAAATAAACCAGTATTGATCGCTATATGTAAAGGATTACAATGATGTGATTCAATTTCGAACAAGGGTAAGGTAGAATTATACAAACAGTCGGGAAAATTAGTAGCCAATAAGTTACCTCTTTCAGCCAGTAATGATATGTTTCTCTTATATTCGTCTTTCTCCATGCATGGAGATCGAAAACATTCATCCCATATGCCCATGCACATTCATTGGGATCCAAATGCTTAGCTATAAGGGGATGGGAAAAATTGAAGTAGTTTCTGAAATGTTTGGACATCACCCACTCATCCTCGCCTTTACAAGTTTCAACAGCTCCATTAACCTTTCCCCATAAATCGATATCCCAAAGTGGCGACAAATCACGCTGAATTACGACATCATCGTCTAGAAACACCACTTTGTCAAGGTTCGGAAAAAGCTGTTCAAATCCCACAATCAAAACATGTTTTGGGAGGAAAGATGATGCATGCATAAGAAGAAATTGTCATGGAAGTCTCAAATTACCTCTGGTAAATATATCCTAAGATGGTTGAGTAAAGATATGTACTTTGGACTTCTAGCTTGCAATTTCGAAGCAAATGTTCGTGGAGTAGTTTCGGAGAGATTTGTTCCTGCAATATGATTGCCGTGATAGTAATTTCTGACGCCATGATGATTCTCCACAGCCTCAAGCACGGGTACATTCTCTCTAGTTAACCAATCAAACTGGTGAACACCTTTCACTTCGACTATCGCGGGGGACACAGGGTTTAGTGCAAACCAGGCATGCATACCTGCATAAGTCTTCTTGTCTGTGATGATATGGAAGACAATCTTTTCGGGTTTTAGAGATGATTGAACGGCAGAAGTGACGACAACTGATGCAGCCAATATGTTGTCTGTTGACAAGACAAAGTGGTGGTAAGAGTTGTTGGAAAGAACAGGGAGGAGCTCAGGAGAAGGCAATTGTCTGCGTGCATGAGCGTTTGAAGAATATTCGTCGGTTAAACGCAGAGAAAGGCAGTATAAACCTTTCGGAATGGAACTTGCTGCAAAGTGTTTGTTCATCAGCTCAGAAAATTTTGATTCCCTAATTTCTCTTTCAAGTTTCTCCATCTGTGCAGAAAAGACGAACGCTAAGGAAGTTCTCCAAACTCAGGAAAATTGTGAAAAATTAGAATTCATACCGAGCATATATGGATATTTGTAGATGCATAATGTTATCACATAGTGCACTTTATACATCCATTGAAGGATAAGAATGAGTTATTACCTAGTATCAGTGAAACAAAAAAAATAAATAAAGCATCCTACATATGTGAAACAGTTAATAGCCCTAGCTTTCACCATTTTTGTTTGAAGCTTAATAACCATGATCAAGTGTCAGATAAAAGAGGGAGATTTTATTCTTCTTTAGTTCATTTTTCTAACTGTGTCATCTGTGATCCCGTTTGTTATTGACAACAAAAATACCGAAAAAACAACAAAACAACGATAATCTTCCATCCAGATTATGCTAGCTTTCATCATATGCAACCAAAGGTCCATAAACCACACAAGTAAAACAAGCATTTATTTATTTATTGAAAATTAAAAAAAAAAAAAAAACAAGCATTTAAGCTAGGACCTTCGGGTCTAGTATAATGACAGGAAAATGTTTCCATGTCAATTCAATAACCAACACCTAAATGGACTTTATATATTAATTGATGCAACGTAAATAGTTAAACATTAACATTATTTCTAACAATCCTCAATCAATATTACCGAAAATAGAAAATAGAAATAGAGGAAAATAAAAGTAACGTAACACGACCGTACCATTGCTCTTAACATGAGTGCGAAGGTCTTTGCATCATATTGGTTGTTCTTCATTTCAGAAACAAGTTGATTAAATGAAACTGGAAGTTTTACACCATCTGGGATTTCCTCGGTGTTTGCTTGATTGAGGATCTTATAGAAGTCCTTAACAAGTCTCTGCTGCACAATCACCACAAAAGACCAACTCAATTTAAAATCATAAATAAATTGTTTCCCGCAAAAGACAATAAAAAAATTGGTTCCAGCATGGAGAAAATGGATACTTACCTCTGAATCATCTCTACCAAGAAGCCTCGGTCCTAACCGCCTACCTAAACAATCTAGGAATGGTGGAACAAGTAGAAGAGTCATGGATCCAACAACAACACTTTTTAAAGAACTCCTGTTCTAATCAGTTTTCATGGTATTTCCATCAGGAGAAAGAGATCAAGAATCAATAAAGTGCATAATTATACGAGTTTGAATTAACCAGTTCTAATCAGTTTTCATGGTACTTCCTTGGGGAAAGTTAGGTGCTCAAAATTATTCGATAACAAAGACAAATGAACTTTTGAAAACAGAAAGATCTGGTTCCAAGTTGAACAATTCCTCAAAAATATAGGAATTTTTTAAACCTATAATTTCACTAAGGCTAAGATGTGTAAATCAGTAAATCAACTGGAAAAAGAACTCAAATGAGATTAAAAGGGTTTTGAACTTTCAATTTCAACCATCTGTATAATCTAGCTAGTTCAATTGTGCTGATAACAAAAGCTTTAATCGATTAAAAGCTTAAGTACACTAACTTGAGATTCAGATTCAACCAGCAAAATTAAGTAAAAAAACACATTGACAAATTCATTTTTGTTAGGCTTGGATTTTATAATATCGCAAATAACTTTTGCATTTCAACGTAACGAACACAAATTTACAGTCAATGAAAGCTACAACTTGCAGATTTAGGGACCAAACCCGTCATGCCACATAAACCACATATCCTAGTCCATCAATAATGCAAAACAAGCCCACATGTTAGAATCAATGCACAGCCAAATTAGAATCAGGACAAGCTAAGATTAAAAGAAAATGATATAAAGAAAACTAACATTATATTAAGATAATAAAAGAACCAAATTAGCTCCATGAGGCATGAACACCCCAAATCAGATTAAAATGAATCCAAAATGTTATCAAATGCATCATAATACCAATCAAAATCAAATGCATAACCAAATAGACCCGAACAAAGTATAATTGAGATTTCAAGAAAAGACTAGCAGCAGGTAAATAGAACTAACATCAAATGCAATAACTAAAGAAAACATACATCAAGTAAGCTGCCATCTGACTATAGAAAAGAACCCACATCAAATCCAATGAAGATCTATGAGAAAACAATGAAAAAAAGCCACAAAAATTATAAGGGCATACCAAATGAGGAACACTTGTTGACACCTTCAAGGGTAACAAGAGCAGTAAGAATGAAGACGAAAGGCAACAAGAAAGCGAGAATAAGAATGGTATGGAAAAGGGTCCTATATGAAATATGTCTAGCTGCCACTTTGATCTTCATCAAGTCAATAAACCCATTGTTGCTTGATATCGTTAAACTTCTCATGCTAGGCGAGACGTGAAGCTGCATCCTTGTCTATGCAGCCCCTCCACACCTGAACAAATCCACTGGCTCCAAAAACACGCCACACTTGTTCTTGTTATCAAATTCCACTTCTCCACAATATATCTCGCTGCTCGGATCTGCACCCAATCCCACAACCATCAGATCCAACCCTTTCCCCTTCTCTTTTTTTTCCTGATTTAATCTTCAATTTCTTGATCTGGGTTCCCTTCAAAACTCCCCTTTTTTAAGTTGGTCTTAACAAAGGACCTTCACTGCATTGAATATTTTAACACCCACAAAAAAATTGGGTATTTTTCCTCTTTCTCTTCCCCTTTTTCTTGGTTTTTTTTTTTGGATCAAAGAATTAAGCAAGTTGTTTTTTTAGATCTGGGTAATGGTTATTGAAGCTCTCCCATAGATCAAGAAAGAATGAGGAGGAAAACAAAGAGAACCTGGGTCCCTTTTTTTTAATGTGTTGAAAAAAATGGGTTTATTTTCTCTTTCCTTTTCGGGTTCTAATCAAGATCTCCCATTGGTGCGGTGGATCGACTCATCTAATTTCTTAAGAAAATTAGAGGAAAAAGAAAGAGAATGATTAAACCCAAAAATGAAAATAAAAAAAATGAAAACTTTGATTTTGATGAGTCAATAACGTGTGGGCTTAGATGGAGAGAGAAAAGTGGGAGATTTACGACCTTTGGTAGAGGAGGAACCGAAACAAAGGAATTCTCTTTACAGTTAAATTTAGTTGTTTTCCTTATTTTATGGCTAATCATCTACTCTATGTGTGGATGTTATTTTCTTAAATTTACTCCAATGAAAAACCTTTTTAGTTTCATCTTATTTATATTTATATTTATATTTTAAATTTTTAAATTTTTTTATTTAAAGTTATAATCAGATTAAATTCATTAAATAATTTCAGTGATTAAATAAAATATTATTTTTTTAAACGATCTAGATCCGAGTAGTTGGGTCGATAAAAATGTGTGTGCATATTACATTATAATCATCTCAATTTATTTTAAAAAAACTTATGGTAAAATTTAATTTGAATAACGATTTATTAATAAATTAATTTTAATTTAATTTTTATAGATTATAAAGTTTTAGATAATTCAATCTTTTAGTTAATTCTAACTTCATCCCAACGGAAGTTAGATGAAAATATTTTTCTTTGGAAACGCTTCTCCAAACGAACTTTTCCAATGTTAAAGCATCGTTTTTTCAGTTTCTTGATTTGAAATAATTTTTAATAGTAAATTTTTAATTGAAAATAAATTGTTTAAAAGTATTTATGCATTTTAAATGAAAAGCCAAAATTACTTTCATAAATATTCTGAGATGACTCTTAAAAGTTTTTAGGGCCTCGTTATGTATTCCTCTAAAAATAGGTAATCTCTTTAAAATAGTGTCAAAGCAAGTGCTTGTATTTCATAATACCAAGCAATCAAATATGATAGGCGATAATATGTAGAAAGAAAGAACCTACGTTGTTGGTATTTTTAACTTTTGTGATTGTGACTCAAATTATTGACTTCAAAGCAAAAAGTTCGTAATAAGATTTTGAAGTTTGCCCATTTTCATGCAATAATTAATTAAGTATGCATTATTTTTTTATACAATGAAAATTGGTTTTTTTAGTATTATCTATTAAAATAATAATTTAAAAGTTTAATATTGAGTAGATAACAAGATACTAAACATATATTCTCACTAAAAAAAGGCCTGCTAGCCTTCCTTTCTCGCTGTCTTATAATTTTATGATATATTGTTATTAAAGTTGTTTATTTTAAAATGATGTCAATAAAAAATGTTACATATTTTTACTTTACTCAAAATTTGAGATGCATGATCAATATAAATGAAACACAATTTAAGAAATGGATGTCCCTTGTTCCCATATGTAATGGGGTAAGGGGGAGGTAAGATAATAGACTGCCCCCAACACTAGGTTGAGAACAACTTCCGTAGGAGACCTCCAAATTATGAAATACCCTCCATGGGACTCGATCCCACGACCTCAAGGTTAAGAACCTTGTGCTCTACCAACTGAGCTGGATGGTCATTCCACACAATTTAAGAAATGAATTACTTAAATATTCTTTTGGAACTAATAATAGTTGTGAGTTCTACCGGATAAAGAAAAAATATAATAAAATTAAAAGAAGTCTACAAATATTAGAGTAAACTAATCTAGGATTGCTTATTGAGTGAGTTGATCCTGAGTTGAACAATACTCGACTCGTTGCTCGTTAAAACTTTGCTTGACTCATGCTCGTTAAAAAAAACTTATTGCTCAACTTGTGCTCTTTAAGTGTAACACCCTAATCTAGCTCGACCGAAGATCGAAAGATTACGATGTCACACGATACCACCGAAGTGGGCTAATCCAAAATTTTTCTTTTTAAAATCATGTTAAACCATTACATATAACATCATTCATAGAAATGTAAATAAAACATAGTAAACATGTTTTACAAATACAGGGAGCTCGTAAATCATCCAAAATAATACAATGAGTTTAAATCAAAATAGAGTTATGATTAAATACAAAAGGGTCTAAAGTAGTACATGCCCTCTAATACAAATCAAAACGTACTCTGAAGCCTCGGTTGTACTGGAATATCTGGTGATGATAACGCTACACGGACTGCCTCCTAAGAACCTGCGCACGAAAACACATCCCAAATGTTGAGCTCAAGCTCAGTGCCTCGCTAATAACCGTACAATACTACATGTATTCACTAAATGTATGTTCTAGAGGCATAGGTACGAAGACTTAAGGAAATGCTGACATGACATGTTGACGTAGGCATCATGGTGTGACTGAGGGTTCTATATCTCGAAGCTCACACACCCCTCTAGTATTCCTAAATATCCTTGGGTATTTGGGGTGAGATCCGGAACTACACCAGAAATGTACAGCCGACCAACTTACTCCGTTGAGTTCTAGGGCATCTGCGTCTATCTAGCAGCTATAGTGCCTTGGCACTAATTGAGATATCCAACTATACGATTACTGCTAAAATAACTCGGGTGTCCTGATTGTATCCCGAACATCAAACAAGGCTAGTTTTATGTCACTTAGTTGTTATTGTTTCTAGTTGTTCTGAGTTTATTACTATTATCACTTATAGTTTTATTTCATGGTGTTATGGTATTATTAGGTCCCTCAATTCTATCCCTTAAAATCCTTGGGTTTCTTACCCAAAATTGTTCGTGGGTACCTATACTAAGGCCCCTTAGTATTGGTATTTGACCTCTGGATATCAATACTATTGACTTATTGAAGTCTAATAGAAAAGGGATAGTATCGATACTCCTGGTCTGTGGTATCGATACTTTCCTGAGTATCGATACCAAATTTGACTTCGATGTTTTGAAAAATATATATAAGTACCAATATAGCTATTGGGGAGTATCGATACTCTATCATTGGTATCGATACTCCCATGAGTACCGATACCAAACATGGTTACTAGAATCTACTAAGTGAACTTGGTATCGATACTCTACCTACAATATCGATACACATTGCATGGGTATCAATACTTCTAGCCCAAAACCCTTTTGTTTTTAGTGTCTAAAGAACATTATCGATACTATTCTTCTAGTACTGATACTTATGCCGAGAAATACCCTGTTTTGGGCACGAAAATATCTCCCCAACACCACTCCTATAAGTCCTACTGAGGTCCCCAAACGTTATTAAAGTGTTATGTCTAATTAAAGGGGTTATAATAGGTCCATTAACATATTGAGAACACTACAACAAAACATATTTTAGCAACGTTTTTTAGTCTTATAGCGACACTTTTAAGCGCAGCTGAAAATACTATCGGCGCTAGTAAGAGCGTCGCAAGAAGAGCTGCTAAAACGAACGCTACAAAAGTTAGCAGCGTTTGTATACCTAAAACGCCGCAAAAGGTACAGTTATATAGCGGTGTTTTTGGCCATAAACGCCGCTAATTCTTTTATCTTTAGTGGCATTTTTTCCCACAAACGTTGCTAATTCTCTTGTCTTTAGTGGCATTTTTACCATAAACGCCGCTAATGCTATTGTTTTTAGTGGCTTTTTTCCCACAAACACCGCTAATTCTCTTGTCTTTAGTGGCGTTTTTACCACAAAAATCGCTTATGATATTGTTTTTAGTGGCATTTTTTGCCACAAACGCCGCTAATGCTATTGTTTTTAGTGGCGTTTGTAATACAAAACACCACTACATATTATGATTTGTAATGCTATTTTTACCACAAACACCACTATTTGCAAAAGGTTGGTATATGTAAGTTTGATTGGGTTGCTCTTCGTTGAACCCGTAAATTGTTCATCATTGTTATTTTCAATATGTTTTGTTCCTACTTTGTATTGCCCTAATTTAACTTGTAACAATATCTAATAACAACCTAAAAATAAATTTATGCTTCCAATTAAACAAAAATACATAAAATATGAATAATTCAAAGTTTGCAAAGATCCATAAAAATGTAATTTAGTTCAATATTATTCACTAGAATAAACAAAACATTAACCTAAGAAATCACCTAGGATGAAGAATTTTTTGCTTGATTATGCTTCTTCATAGCTTCAAGTTGATTTTGAAGTTTTTCATATCCTCTATGTTTCTCTCACTTTTCTCGCTTAATTTGTCATCCGAGGCTGAATATTGGTGCAACCCTACATAAGGCTGAGTGTTGATGCAACCCTACATACAAAGTTGAGATAAAATAAGTCATTTCTAAAAATAAACACAATTACATTAAAATAAATTGGAATGTAATTTTGTATACTAGAGCATCAACTCTCAGTCTCTTACCTTCATCTTGGTGTTGTACAAATGAACATAGATACACTCGATGAAGTGGTTTGTAATCTCATTATAATCAGTAACAGACCTGAAAACAATAAGGTTCAAAGCTAGTGTAATCTTATTAGAATAAATAAAGGGTCTGAAAGCAACAACGAAATGCAAAGCTAGAGAATAAAAATCTAGAAGTGAGGTTCTTTTAAATTTTAATTGGCGTAATGTAAACTGATACAAAACTCCACTAACACTCAAATGAAAAAAAGACCAACCGACCAAAACAGATGAAACAAGCTTTTGTATGATTAATTCATATCAACGTAATGTAAATTTTACTTGGCACTGTATTCGATGTAAGCAGGTGCATCAATCTGCTTTATCAGCTTCTCTCCCTTGCAGGCGCGCAAATAAGAAAAATGAAGAGCTTAAATTAGCTGCTTGTAAATAATAAAAATCCATGTAGTAGGAAAACAAGTTAAAACATAATGACATTTCATGAAAAGCATGGACTGATGCTAAAATCAGTTACCCGTGCTGTAGAAATGGCCACAGCTCCAGGATGATCATTAAGGTACTACTTATCATCCCGAAGATTTGGATCATTAAGTAAAGAAAGCAATCATGGATTACTTACAACAACTCCAGATAAGTCATTTACGGATCACTAAAATTCGCAGCATAAAGACCAAAACTATTCAGAATTGTTGTAAGATTAATAATAGCCTTTCCATTGCATGGATACCTAAATACTCCTCAACCGAGAGCATTGCATGAAA